TCCAAAGAGAGGTGTCATGATTATAGTAAAATTTTGATCAAAATTCTAATACCTATGGCTGAGCACCAACCATAGGGTCTTACTAATGTTTTTTCCAAGTTAGTTGGCCGTAGGCCAGTATATCTCAAAGTGTGATGGGATCTGGTCAGCTGACATGTTCTGTATTAGAATCACCTGAGATATTCATTAAACGCCAAAATTCCTGGGCTCCACCCAGACTTGTTGAGTCAGAGCCTCTGAGTACTGGACTTAAAGATGTACATTTTGGGTGAGCTGTCCAGGTGATTCTTCTTCATATTAAAGTCTGAGAGCCCTACACTTCCCCTTGGGTGTGGGAGAGCAGAGTGAGATACAGCTCGGAGCTCCTACTCAACTCAGATATTACAAGATGTCTATAAATTCCACGTGAGTAAACATGGCTTTCTGGGAAATAAACTTAGAAGCAGACACATTTTCATCAAATATATTTAGGTTTTGATCAAACGAAAAATGCCATTCTCTACTGTGGTGATACACTAACGTTTTCTTTCACAATTCTGGGAATGCAAGAAATACCATGTTTGTATTTTGCAAATAGGTTGAATCTTTATTGGGATTTCCTCCCTCTACCTAAGACTCTACAAAGGTAACTTAGATGTTAGCAGAGTAGAACTTTTTTTTATGGGAGTGGGAACCAAGACTTTCAAAACTAAGCACTCAGAGGTAAAATAAGCCTTCCCAGAGGTAAGGGAACAGCCAGCCTCAGGAAGGCAGGAGGACATCACTGCCCTGCTTCCCAGTCACATTCAGCCCTGAGGAACCAAAAATAACTTCACTCCTTGATAGATGCTTTTTGCCACATGTTGTTATGGCCAGTGCTGCTTTCCACTAAACCCAATAATCTTCTGTCCACATGGCGGCCTTGGTTAAAATTCTAACTTTCTTAGGGTCCCTAATCTTGGCTTTCTCTCTGTCTCCTACTCCCTTTGCCATAAAGGTGAGAATGAGTGGGCCTGGGCACAGAGTAAAAGTGATTAAAGTCTTTGATGCCTGATTAAAGGGTGTGGAGGAGAGGACAAGGGACTTCCAGGAAAAGAGACAATGAAGACAGGAAGGGTGACACCTCTGAGATGAAATAGCCCTGGTCCAGACACTAGGGTGTGCCTGTGTTTCCACCGTCTTCTTTCCTCTTTTCATTGTCATCCATGTAGGGGATGCTTCCCCCTTGTAGGAAATTGCCAACAGGGTCCCTATGAAGCCAGCCTTGAAAACTGGCAGTCCAGTAACAGCCAGCTACGTCTTCAGAGCTTGAAAGATTCAGTGGAGCTTCGAAGCACCCCTAATCAGCCTGCTTCTTGGGGGGAGATTTTGGATTATTTGAAGAAGGGGATAATATTCAATATACCCAACTATTCAAATCTCACCCAATTTCCTCTTCAACTCCCTCTGATATCCCCCCCACCCCAGCAAAAAAAACAAGCAATTGCCTCTCATGAGATCCTGATAGGAAAAGGCAGGTGAAGAAGCTATAGTCTGGCTGTAATTCCACTCCTACCCTGCACAGGCCCACGGTCTCTCCATGAGAGGAAAGTCGGGTTTGTCTATGGCATCTTCAGCAGCCCCGGAAACCAGAAGGGAGTCCATCAGCTCCCAGGACCCATGTACCTTATTTGCAGTCCCAACCTCACGGGCCAGGATATAGAAAACATTGTGGGAGAATGCAGATAATTGTAAGGGTGAGTGGATTTTGAATAACATACCTCTAGTTAAAACATATATATCTATGATATATAAAAATATGTACACATTGTAAACCAAAAAGTAATTGTAGCATATCTCAATAGATTAGAGGTTTATTTTGTCAAGGCTGAATATGTACCCAGGAAAAAGAAACACAAGTCACTGTAAGATCTGTGACCTGTACTTTTTCCAGAGGGTTTTGGGAACTTCCATCTTTAGAGAGGAAAGAGCAAGCAGGAGGGGAACAAAAAAATGAAAGATGGGTTGGTAATTAGGCAAGTATTTAGTTTTGCAAGGCTCTGATGAACAGTCAGTGAGTCTACACTTTACATGTAAAAAGAAGGGAGTAGAGAGAAATTATCCATTCATCTCGTGCTCAGTACACGATAAAGTAAGCATGTGAAATTACAGCTATTTGGGAACAAAAGGAAGAAAGGTTTTGCATGACTCATTTCCCAAGCTTAACTTTCTCTTTGGCATAGTGAATTTGACATCTTGAGATTCTCTGTTTCTTTCATAATATTTTATATTTATATATATTATATATATATATAGTATCTACATATAAGTTACTGTTACTCACTTATCTCTTCCCCTCCTTATGTGTCTTATTCTTCCAATGTTGGATTCTCTCCCTGAAGCTTTCTCAATGTAAATTTAGAATAATCATTTTGCCCTTTCGCGGTAGAGAAAGTTTGCTTTTGAATCAGAAACTTGTGGGAAGTGTGGCTTAGGGCTCAACTTTACCTAGGCATGGCTCCGCTTGCCTTGCTCGTTTTTCCTTTGTCCACTTTCTCCCTACACACTGGGGAGCCAGGGTCTGTTCTCACTGCATCTTCTCCCTACTGCTCACTGCCCCTGGGGTCACTTCAGCCCCCATGTCTCAGAACCCAGGACACAGCTGTGATGGCCAAGGAGGTCTCAGGAAGAAGAAGGCATAAAGAGTCCAGGAAACTTGGGTAGAACAGGGAATCTCAGGGCATAAGAACAGAAAAAATCATGGTTTAGAATAGCCGTTAAGGGAGTGAGCTCTGGATGTCAACTGCCTGGGTTTCAACCCTTAGCTCTGTGCTTTTGAATGAGATAAAATCCCCAGTTGCTCAATTTCCTCATCTGTAAAATGGGGATACTAGGGGTACCTATTTCATAAGCTGGTATAAGGATTAAATAATCAATAGATGAACCTACAAAATGCTCAAACATGGCCTGGCACATAGTAAGCACTCAATAAATGTTAGAGATTATAATTGAGGGTCTATGACATATATTTGTAAATAAAATAGAAGCCATATCACCACTGGGACTATTTTTAGATTTATTTGAACTAATTTAAAAAAGGGGAAGAGATAAACTATAAACTTAGTTATGAAAAATTCACAATAATAAGAGTAGTTATGTAGGGATGTTTATGACTAATTTCTATTTGTAAAATAATTATTAGGTACTTTATTGCTATTGAAGATAAGTTTTTTTAAAGATTTGGCTACACTATACATTTGACCATGCTTTTTAAAAATGACAGATTATGTATTCACATTTTATTAAAAATAAAATACATGTAGATAATGTATTAACCCAGCTTGACATTCTTCCCTAAACTCTAAATAGGCATTGTATGAGTGATTACTCTCCTGAATTTATTGAAGAAACAATCACATTTAGCTAAGTAAAGCTGGATAAAGAATTGGAATAATGTCAGTATCTAGATCATATAAGAGATTAGGAAAGTGAAGGGAATAAATTCTATGTTTTTTGATAGGGGTTGAATTAAATTAGTTAATTAGGTTATTTTTTAAAAAAACAGTTGTATTTTTTGGAATTTTTCTTCTCTTTTCTTGTTTGGTTTCGGTCTTGACATCTTTGTGAACACAGAAAGACCAGTGCCAACAAGTAAAGAGAAAAATAAGGCTTTTACCAATACTCCTTCATGTCTGCTGATAGTACATTTTTAGGTCAACCTCCTATTTTAAAAAGTTGTAGATATAGGATTGACTTGAGTTCTGAAAACCTACAGAATATGAAACTAATATGATCCCCATTTACTGTTACCATCATTTAGATTGAATAGGATGCAGAGTTGGGAAATGTATATACAATCACCCAGAAGGAATGTCAAAATGAAGAGCAGAAATATAAGATACCACATACATCTCCTTCTGTTGCATTTGGAGACAAGTTTTCCTTCCTTCCTTCCTTCCTTCCTCTCTCCCTCCCTTCCTTCTCTCTCTTTCTCTCTGATGGAGTCTTGCCGTTGCTGAAGCTGGAGTGCAATGGTGCAAGTTCAGCTCACTGCAACCTCCGCCTCCTGGGTTCAAGCAATTCTTCTGCCTCAGCCTCCCCAGTAACTGGGATTACAGGCACACACCACTATGCCCTGGCTAATTTTTGTATTTTTAGTAGAGATGAGGTTTTACCATGTTGGCTAGGCTGGTCTTGAACTCCTGACCTCAGGCGGTCTGCCCTCCTTGGCCTCCCGCAGTGCTGGGATTACAGGCCTGAGCCACCATTCCCGACCTAAAGACAAGTTTCTTTAAATTGTATTCTTGTTACTATAAAGGTGAAAAAAATGTAAATTGAAAAAATTAGAAAATCCTGAAAATAATAATGAAGGATATAAAAAGTATCCCAAGTCTGCCATCCAGAGATAGTCATTGTTAATATTGTGGAAGAGTTTTTATTCTTTGCACGTTTACATTTAAAAAATTTAAAAATTTGGACCAATTACATATGTATAAATAGTTTTTTCTTTTTTTTACTGAACAAACCATAAACATTCCCAGATATAAACATCTATTTCCCATTTTAATTATTTTTTTTAAAGAGGGCATTATTTTAACCATTTGAGTGGTAGATATTATTTTTAGATAATATTTTAAATTAGACACAATGGCTATGCAAAATCTGAAGATTAATATCTACCTTCTGATTTATTCCTCTGTCAGTATGTTAAACTGGCAGGTGTCGAAGAAAGAAAAAATGAGTAACGATTGGTTATTGACAGCTATGAATGAGAAATGGAAGGTAGTGGACTGTGGGTGACAAACATATTCTTGGTAATTATTACCACAACTACATGAGAGATACTACTAACAAGCAAAGTTTTACAACTTTTTAAAGACATAGACTTTATAAGAATTAAAAATCATACATTTGTGTCATATTAATGAAATTGCATATGAAATAGAAAGGCATGGACAAAGGTGAAGTAGCTTCAAGAGACAGAGTTCTGACATCATTGTAATTTTAAGGATCGTGGATATTCCCGGGAAAGTTTTTGGTTGCCAGTGGGAATTTCCTCTTTACTGGATTTGGACAATATCTTCCTATTATTCACAGGAAGCAATCCCTCCTATAAAAGGGCCTCAGCCGCAGTAGTGTTCAGCTGTTCTTGGCTGACTTCACATCAAAACTGCTATAGTGACCTGAGGCAGAGGCAGCAGTGATACCCATCTGAGAGATCCTGTATTTGAACAACTGCTTCACAAAACGGTCAGTGCAGAACGCTTTACAAGGGCAGCCTTGGGCTATGAAACACAGAAATGCAAAAGGCTTTCTAATAAAAATCACATCTGTAAAAGCTCTTATGGTATTGTAGCTAAAACTTGTCTTTTCTCTTTGACCTAAAAGATGAAAATCTTAAATTTTGTATTTATTTATTGAACTAAACTCTGAAATAAAGATTATGGCACTGAAATCCTTTACCCAAAATCTTAGGATGCTGCCTTAAACAACATGATAGAATAATGTAACTGGCTACCCAGATTTCCTTCTCTAATTCATTTTGTATTTTTTTCTCCCCAGGAAAGTATTTCAAGCCTAAACCTTTGGGTGAAAAGAACTCTTGAAGTCATGATCGCGTCACAGTTTCTCTCAGCTCTCACTTTTGGTAAGTCAGCGTCATTAGACCAGGATTTCTCATTCTCCCACTATAGATATTTCAGACTGAAAATATCTTTCCTTGGCTGGGGCTGTCCTGTGCAGGATATATGGCAGCATCCTTGACCTCTGCCTGCCCAGGGCTCAGGGCCATTTTCATTACCTCTTAGTGTCTCTCTTTCCTAAAGTGTAGTGTGGATCATAAATGACTTATTTTCCAGATGCATTTTGAGGATTCAATAGCATGGTTCTTAGAAAGTACCTCAAACAGTGCTTCGTGGTGCACATTAAGTGCGCAATAAAAAAATTAGTAGTTGTTTCTTCATACATCCCTCTTCCTTTTGAAAAGGTAAAAAAATTCTGGGCCAAGCCACAAACATTTTGGCCCACAGTAGGCCAAAAATAAGACAATAAGAAGCACAGTTATCAGAGTTAAACCACAACAGCACCAAACTCTACCATTTCTTCTCTTTTTCTCCCACTAGTGCTTCTCATTAAAGAGAGTGGAGCCTGGTCTTACAACACCTCCGCGGAAACCATGACTTATGATGAGGCAAGTGCTTACTGTCAGCGAAGGTACACACATCTAGTTGCAATTCAAAACAAAGAAGAGATTGAGTACCTCAACTCCATATTGAGCTATTCACCAAGCTATTACTGGATTGGAATCAGAAAAGTCAACAATGTGTGGGTCTGGGTAGGAACCCAGAAACCTTTGACAGAAGCAGCCAGGAACTGGGCTCCAGGTGAACCCAACAATAAACAAAACGATGAGGACTGCGTGGAAATCTACATCAAGAGAGACAAAGACGTGGGCATGTGGAATGATGAGAGGTGCAGCAAGAAGAAGCTGGCCCTGTGCTACACAGGTAGGGAGTTTGCGGCAGCAGTGGGAGGGAGTTTCAGAGCGTGTACATCTTGGCAAATGTATAGCATGCCAAAGTTGCTCTCTCTTGTGGTAATTTTATGTTCTAAAAGATTCTGTTTAACTGCTAAAGTTTCTCTCTTTCACTGCTTTGTGTGAATGTGAGCAAGAATGTATATATATAATATATGTAAATACTGTAGGCATATATGTAGTTCTTTGAATGTAAAAATACACACAGAGTACATATTTTAGTTACTTGTTATTTGTGGTAGGGGACCTGTCTTCAGAGTTTATGAAGAAGTAAATTTTCTATGGTAGGTGCCAGCCACAGCTGTACTCCCAACATCTACATTAGCATCAAGGTTTAAGATAAATGGGCCTGAAACTCCGATTTGGCACTTTGTAAAACACTTCAGTTAAAATCTGTGGTACTCTGAGGCACTGCTGATGTCCCTGTTGCACTGTTGATTTAAATTCAAAGGCACTCAGAATAAGCACAATAATCGTCCTCATCATGCTTTGTGTTTTGCGCAGCTGCCTGCACCAATACATCCTGCAGTGTCCACGGTGAATGTGTAGAGACCATCAATAATTACACTTGCAAGTGTGCCCCTGGGTTCAGTGGACTCAAGTGCGAGCAAGGTAAGTCTGGTTCTCACCTGGTCCTTCACTTGAGATGGCAGCACCATCTCACGTCCTAGCTGGCTTCAGAGTTAGGTCTGCATGCCTTCCCCTCTCTGGTGCAGATGGTGTCATTTGGTGATTGTGAGCTGAAACTATTAAGTCAGATGCTTCTGGGTTTGAGTCCTAGATTCACCAGTTATTTATTATGGCATCTTGACAAAATAATTTAACTCTTTAGGCCACAGTTTTCTCATTGTAAAATGAGGATAATTACAGTGGGAACTTCACAGGGTCATGGTTACATGGTGCCTGGCGCACAGGACACATTGAATAAACTGCAGTTTTGTGTCCCTGCAAGGAGCAGGTGCTCACATCATCTAGGTGGTAACAAGACCTTGCAGTGGGAATGAGCGAGTTACAGAGTCCAGGGCATCTTTGTTCATGCTCTGGCTCTGTAATGACTAGCTATGTAGCATGGGGTTAGTCACTTGAATGAAATGAGGTCTCAGTTTCTAAATCTGTAAATTAAGAGAGTTAGATTAGTTTCTCTCCAAGGTCCCTTAGCACAGTGTGGTGCAGTAGAGCTTTTAGTGATGATGGAAATATTCCATAGCTGTGCTGTCCAGTGCGTAACTATGAGCCACATGTGGATATTGAGTACCTGAAATGTAGCCGGTGACACTGAGGACCTGAATTTTAACTGTCATTTAATTTCAACAAATTCAAGTTTAATTTGAGTGGCCACAAATAGATAGTGGCTAATTAGATAGTGCAGCATTAGAGTTTTAAAATTTGTAATGTACCCTAGTACTTAAACTTGAAATATAGCTTCATGGATGGTTTCACCCAGGGTGACCTGGGTGGAAGCTTACTGTAGTATTTTTGGCAGTTGTGAGAAAAGTAACCAGAAATTTGTTGTAGCACCTAAGTTTGCTGTTTTTGTTTATATAGTTTGACCAGTTTTGAGATAAACACAATCACACTACTCTCCCCTGAATATTTCTTTTTTTGTGGTTGTTGTTATGGGTTTTTGTTGTTGCTGTTGTGAATCAATATTTTCTTGACTAAAAGGGGTAGAACTACAGTCAATTTTACATATTCTATTAAAAATTTTATAAATTTTTAAACTGAAAAAACCCCTATAGTTGTAGTTTCCAATGTTCTTGACTGTGCAAGGTGAGAGATGAGCAGAGCTGATTTGGGTTTCTGTTTCAGTTGTGAACTGTCCAGCCCCGGAATCCCCTGAGCATGGAAGCCTGGTTTGCACTCACCCACTGGGAAACTTCAGCTACAATTCTTCCTGCTCTGTCAGCTGTGACAGGGGCTACCAGCCAAGCAGCATGGAGGCCACACAGTGTATGTCCTCTGGAGAATGGAGTGCTCCTATTCCAGCCTGCAATGGTAAATCCCTCTCAGAACACACAGAACATTCTCCAAGTCATCCCTTATTGCTTCTGTTTTTTAATCCAACTTATAACATTTTCAAAACTTCAGGAAAGTTCTTTTTTTTTTTGTCTTTATTTTTAATAGAACTGATTCTCTTAACCAATGTATATGGCTAACCTAGTACCTGCCTGGGTTGAGAGAAGTTTTTATTCTACGTTTGGACTGCGTGTTTCTGGGGCTCTGGTAATTTGTAAAGGAGACCATAAAACAGTAAAGCTCTAGAACTCTCGGTGACTTCCTCATCTTGTTTCCCTGTTTAGCTTTTCTATGCTATGGGACTAACTTAAGACCGTGATCATCAAGCAGTCTCAGTATATCTTTTTGTCTTTCAATTGTATCTTTCTGAACCAGAGGCCAAAAAAGAAAAAAATCAGTTCTTCAGGTTCTGATAGGCTAAAATAAATGAATGGCCAAGGTATGTCAGTACTAGTCATAACTTCCAGTCAAAAATCTTTTTTTAAAAATTTTTACCTCATGTAAATAAGGTAAAATCTTATGTAAATGGTAACATAGGTTAGAGACCACTCAGCATAGGCAAAGTGAAAATTAATCAGAGAAGATAGAAATACCCATGAAAAAGAATAAAAGCTTTTATTCTGGCTGTGCATGTCCCTAAGAATTGACACAGGACTTTGGGATCTACCCTTTGGAGGCAGCTCCCTCACTTTGTTATACACCCACCCCAATAGGAAGTGAAAATATCATTCTGTAAAATTCACGGTGCTCTTATCAAATCCCCAGTGGTTGAGTGTGATGCTTTGACAAATCCTGCCAATGGGTTTGTAGACTGTTTCCCAAGTCCTGGAAGCTTCCCATGGAACACAACCTGTGCATTTGACTGTGAAGAAGGATTTGAACTAATGGGAGCCCAGAGCCTTCAGTGTACCTCATCTGGGAATTGGGACAATGAGAAGCCAAAGTGTAAAGGTAAAGATGCTCCACACGGAGACTTACTATTAACATTCTTTCTCCCAATACTGGAAATGGGTAAACTAATTCTATGCCCTACTATACTAATTCTTTGGGCACATTTGTTACAGCCGTGACATGCAGGGCTATCCCCGAGCCTCAGAATGGCTCTGTGACGTGCAGCCATTCCCCTGCTGGAGAGTTCACCTTCAACTCTTCCTGCAACTTCACCTGTGAGGAAGGCTTCATGTTGCAGGGTTCAGCCCAGGTTGAATGCAGCACTCAAGGGACGTGGACACCGCAAATCCCAGTTTGTGAAGGTAAGCTTGAGATCCTTTGATTTATACTTTCTTAAAGAGCAATCATCTTCAAACTTGGACAGTGAAAAAAACCCCAATACCCACTTTAACTATGGAAATCAGATTTGATGAGCAACACTCATATCTTTGAGATTCATTTAAAATAACTAGTTTGGCCAGGGAAAGGATCGTATGTATTAAGAATGAATGCTTTGCTGCTTTTCGAACTGTGATGTGCTAATATAACTTTACACACATTAGCATAGAGTAGACAGAATTCTTAGTCTGAAGGAATCATATTCAGAAAGCAGAATAATGAGAACATGATTTGAATTTAAAACTCTCATCACACCTTTCTTCTGAAATGGCTCACAATTAGCAGTGATGAGACCATTTCAAGCATGGTGTCAGTTACAGCAATAGTATTGATACATATATAAGCAGTACACGTCAATTCACTTTAACGTAAGAGCAAGGATATTGAAAATAAACAGTTTTTACCATCAGCCACTGCCTTTCTCCTAGCCAAAGCCAGCACAGAATGATTTTCAGTAGCAAAACATTATAACACAAAAACCAAACTGCAAAGCACACAAATTTTATTGGGGTGCTTTCTTCTCTTTCTTTCTTTTTGGCACCATCTATAAACATCCATGACCCATATGTTGTCCTCAGACTGTGTGAAATTGTTCCCTTGACCATAACTTCTTTTGCATGTTAGATAACAGTGCCCAGGAACTAATGTTCCTGTTAATTAGTCTTTTAATTAGTGCCATGATCAGTGAGGGGGTTGAAATTAAAAAAAAAAAAACAACACCACACCCATCTTCCCATTTGTCCAGGAATTATAAAGACTCTTCAGTTACCCAAGAGTTGCTTGAATGAACAGGTTCACTCAACAAATGCCAAGTACTCTCTAGTTCCACTGCAGTATTTTCTGACCATCATTTTGATGTCTCAGCTTTCCAGTGCACAGTCTTGTCCAGCCCTGAGCGAGGCCACATGAATTGTCTTCCTAGTGCTTCTGGCAGCTTCCAGAATGGGTCCAGCTGTGAGTTCTCCTGTGAGCAGGGATTTGTGTTGAAGGGCTCCAAAAGGCTCCAGTGTGGCCCCACAGGGGAGTGGGACAACGAGAAGCCCACATGTGAAGGTATGGTGTTTGTTTTTATTTTATTTTAAGATAAACACGATTGAAGAGCTTAGGAACTTGGTTATCTTGGGAAACCAGAGATGCAAATAAACTTCTAAAGTGCTCTCTCATGTGTTCCAGCTGTGAGATGTGATGCTGTTCGCCAGCTCCCGAGGGGTGTGGTGCAGTGTGCTCATTCCCCCATTGGAGAATTCACCTACAAGTCCTCTTGTGCCTTCAGCTGTGAGGAGGGATTTGAATTACATGGATCAACTCGACTTGAGTGTACATCTCAGGGACAGTGGACACAAGAGGTTCCTTCCTGCCAAGGTAGAATTGAGTGCAGACTTTTTTAGGGTACAGGTCAAATACCTCATAAGTTTCTGAACCTAGGTTGCCCCAAGGGGGTTTGATCCTAATTTCCTACATGCCAAAAACTAAGTAGTGCTTATACATTATACTTATTGTTGACTTTTAAGTGAGTTTTAGAAGTTTTCCAGTAGATTTTTCTGAAACTCTACCTGTGTACCTAACATTTGCAGTGGTGAAATGTTCAAGCCTGGCAGTTCCGGGAAAGATCAACATGAGCTGCAGTGGGGAGCCTGTGTTTGGCACTGTGTGCAAGTTCGCATGTCCTGAAGGATGGATGCTCAATGGCTCAGCAGCGCTGACATGTGGTGCCACAGGACACTGGTCTGGGTTGCTGCCTATCTGTGAAGGTGATGCATTGATTGATGGTGGTTGTCTGGGGGATTAAAGAGAAAAGGGGCCGGGCGTGGTGGCTCACGCCTGTAATCCCAGCACTTTGGGAGGCCGAGGCGGGTGAATCACGAGATCAAGAGATCGAGACCATCCTGGTCAACATGGTGAAACCCCGTCTCTACTAAAAATATAAAAAATTAGCTGGGCATGGTGGCGCGTGCCTATAATCCCAGCTACTCGGGAGGCTGAGGCAGGAGAATTGCCTGAACCCAGGAGGCAGAGGTTGAGGTGAGCCGATAGCACCATTGCACTCCAGCCTGGGTAATAAGAGCAAAACTCCGTCTCAAAAAAAAAAGAGAGAGAGAGAAAAGGGGGCAGCTATCTTGTTACAGTAATCAACTATCCATTATATCCAAATCAGAAAGTTTGCCCAGGTTAACAAATTGTGAATATTAAATTCTATGAGGTTAGACAGAGAAAAAACAGAAGTTGCATGTTGATGTAATGGACAGAATTCTGACAACTGGAAAAAGGAGACATAGAGAGGAAAGGAGAAAGGGGAAATGGAAAATTAGAGGGAGTGAGAGCAAGAGAGCACCAAGTGCAGTGTTTATTAACCAAGGTGTGCCGTGGTATCGTGAACAAGCCTGGCAAGTTAGAGTTCTGGCTGCCGGTGGTGGAAGCTATGGTGGAAATAACTTTGAAGGTGGCTTGGAGCAAATCTCAAAGGCCTTTAATGCCGCACCTCTGCTTCTTGTATTAAGCTAGATAGCTCTTCTGCTCCTAGTAATCAGTGTACAGAAAAAAAGGCCAAATGGACGGGACAGAGAGACTTTAACATCAGTTCCTTCTCATGTCATTTCTTCCTCTCGTTTTTTTAGCTCCCGCTGAATCCCACATTCCCTTGGCTGCTGGACTTTCTGCTGCTGGAATCTCTCTCCTAACACTAATACCATTTCTCCTCTGGGTTCGGAAATTCCTTCGGAAAGGTGAGGACGTTTATGAATGCACTTCAAAAAAGTTTTTAAAAATACGTTTCTTTCTCATTGATAAGTCATGGTCTTGCTTACAAATTTGAACAATAATTGGAATCTGGATAAACACTAATAAATGCAGTATAATTAAGCAGAAGTCTTAGGAAAAGAGTTAGTAGTACAACTCAGTATGGGAAGAGTTTTAGGAAATAGAAATGTTAGTTGTGCCTAATATTGTACAACTCCAGGGGGTGCTGTTCATATTGAATTATATGATGCCTCCAGGAGTTGTGCAATGAGACTGCCATCATGAGCGCTTTAAGGAAAATGGATAAAATCCTTCCTAAGGGGATTTATTTGGAGTATAGGCTTAAATTTGGGAGTATCTCTTAAGGAATATGCAAGCACATCTGACTACACTCATGGTTTGTCTGGCTTACATGTTTAAGAGTACTTAAAACATTTTTGAGTTACGTTCTGACATTTACAAAATAGGAAATCTCACATTTAAATTCAGATTTTGGACTTCTCATGAAAAATTGGGAGTTGAATCAGGCAAGATAACCCTGTAGCTATTTGCCAGCTTTAGGAAGCTGCTACGCCCTTTGGACAGGTGTGCACTTTGCATTTCACCCTAGATGCCACAGAGCCATGCTTGTGCTCTGATTATCACAGAGGCCCTGAGGCACTGAGTTTGTAACCCTTAATGAATTAAGTCATATTGTATCTGGACTTAACATATCCTCAAACATCATTTACTTTGAATTAATGATTTTTGTTTGTTTTTTCTTTTGCAGCAAAGAAATTTGTTCCTGCCAGGTAAGTTGCATTCTTATACAAAGCTTGCCACTGAACATTCCACACATTTTTCTCTCTTCATGTTGGAAGACAGTGCTTTACCCAGTGTTCTCATGTATTCCACAGCAGCTGCCAAAGCCTTGAATCAGATGGAAGCTACCAAAAGCCTTCTTACATCCTTTAAGTTCAAAAGAATCAGGTAAGACTTGTAAATTACAAATGGTTATAAGAGAGGTGTCTTTACATTCTCTGTTTCTCTTTGAACCTTCCAAACTTGCCAATATCTCAGGGAGGGAGTGGGGGAGAAATCGTCACCTTCAGGGTATTGTTCTGGAAAGTTGCTTTATTTTTTTGTAGGAGAGGAAAGAAACTGAGATTTTGCTTTACTGTGTAGTTTTGTTTATGACAGATAATAATAATGAAGACAGCTGATCCTTACATAGCATTTACTATATTCTAGGAACTTTTCTAAGCTAGGAACTCTGAGATAGGGGCTGTTACTATGTTTCTTTTCCTTGTCTTTTTTTTTTTTAAATATTGAGATGGAATCTCACTCTGTTGCCCAGGCTGGAGTGCAGTGGTGCAATCTTGGCTTACTGCAACCTCCACCTCCTGAATTTAAGCGATTCTCCTGCCTCAGCTTCCCAAGTAGCTGGGATTACAGGTGCCTGCCACCACACTCAGCTATTTTTTGTATTTTTAGTAGAGACAGGGTTTTGTCATGTTGACCAGGCCGGTCTTGAACTCCTGACCTCGGTGATCTACCCACCTTGGCCTTGCAAAGTGCTAAGATTACAGACATAAGCCACTGGGCCCAACCTGTTACTATATTTCCAGTCACACAGATAAAGAAATGAGACAGAGAGAAGTTAGGTAAATTGCCTGAAATCTCAAAGCTAGTAAGTGGTATAGCCAGGATCCAAACCCAGGCAGTCTGGTTCTAGAATTTGTGTTCTTAACCACTCTGACCTGCTTTGTAAGAATTTGGAAGGGTCAAGTCCTTCTCAATACTTTTTAAAAAATTAAAAGAACTTTTTTGTGTGTGTGCAGTTTTAAGTTTACAGGAAAATTGAGCAGAAAATACAGAGTTTCAACATATCTCCTCACCACCCCCTCCAATTTCCCCTGTTATTAACACCTTGTATTAGTGTTACAACTGATAGGCCAATATTGATACATTACTATTCATTAATGTCCACAGGCTACATTAGGATTCATTCTGTGTTGTATATTCTGTAGGTTTTGGCAGATGTATAATACGTATCCATGCTCACTGTCCTAACTGAATAGAATTTGATGTTCCTACATGCACTATCCTAGTGAGAATGTATACAGTGGTCTGTGTTAGAAGGTACATTTTGTTGTTGGTATCAGTATGCAGAATATTAAGTGTTCTGATGACATGCATGCTTATATTTGCAGAAACACAGGTGCATCTGGAGAACTAGAGGGATACACTGAAGACAACAGAGACAGAGAACTCTCCTCGGGTCTCCGGCCCTTCTTGCCTACTATACCACATGCCTTTATGGTTGAAACTGCCACAGCCACCACCACTTCAATGTATCAAAGTCCAGTGGGCAAGGCCAGCCTTTGACTGAATGGACTCAGTGTTCTCTTTCCTACTCTCAGGGTCAAGAGAGTGGTGTCTAATGAAAGGAAAGGACATTTTCTTCCAAGCAAAGGTGAAGAGACCATGACTGTGAAATCTCAGAATTCCTTTTCTAACTCTCCCTTGCTTGCTGTGAAATCTTGGCATAGAAACACAATATTTTATGACTTTCTTTCTTTTGCCCTTCATAGTGTTTCAAAAGCTGATTCCACAGTTGCTGTCATAAGAATGAATAATAATTATCAAGAGTTCAGAGGAAAAAATGGCTAAAAATATTCTATTTCAAGGCCGGGCGCGGTGGCTCAAGCCTGTAATCCCAGCACTTTGGGAGGCCGAGGTGGGTGGATCATGAGGTCAAGAGATCGAGACCATCCTAGTCAACATGGTGAAACCCCATCTCCACTAAATACACAAAAAATTAGCTGGGCGTGGTGGCGTGTGCCCGTAATCCCAGCTACTCAGGAGGCTGAGGCAGGAGAATTGCCTGAACCCAGGAGGCGGAGGTTGCGGTGAGCCGAGATCACGCCATTGCACTCCAGCCTGGGTAACAAGAGCGAAACTCCGTCTCAAAAAAAAAAATATTCTATTTCTAACTTGAAAAAATGACAGATTTTGAATGCACATAGGCCAATGCATGGAGGGTTGTTAACGGTGCAAATCCTACTCAACGCTCTGTGTGAGGGTTACTATGCACAATTTAATCACTTTCATCCCTGTGGGATTCAGTGCTTCTTAAAGAGTTCTTAAAGATTGTGATCTTTTTTACTTGCATTGAATATATTATAATCTTCCATAATTCTTCATTCAATACAAGTGGTGTAGGGACTTAAAAAACTTGTAAATGTGTAAATATTGTAAACTGTTATGGGTAAAAGTTACTTATCCTAGATTACCCCCTCTTTATTTGTTAACAAATTATGTTACATCTCTTATAAATTTATTTCAAAAAGGGAAACGATTGTCCCCTAGCAAGGCATGATGTTAACCGGCATAAAGTTCTGAGTGGTTTTACTAAAGTTGGTTTTTAAAAACATGATGATATCGGAGAGTAAAAACTGAATGGAACGTTTGTATATTGTCAGGTATCTTTTTCAGAAATATGTGGTTTCCATGATGAAAAACTTCCATGAGATAAAACAGTTTGATCTAATAAAAGCATAAATGCAAATGCATGAAGGTACAATTTTATGAATGTCTTTGCTGGAAAAGAATGCTTTGCATTCCTACAAAGATCTTTGTCAGATGTAATATGTAAACATAATCCTTGTATATTATGGAAGATTTAAAATTCATGATAGAAAATCACCATATCAAAGAGTCATCTGGTAGACTTTTAAAGAATGAAGATGTCTAATAGTTATTCCCTATTTGTTTTCTTCTGTATGCTAGGGTGCTCTGGAAGAGAGGAAAGCCTGTGTGAGCAAGCATTTATGTTTATTTATAAGCAGATTTAAAAATTCCAATCACTGGCAATGAGAAATTCTCGGTTAGGAATTGTTGAAGCTGCTCTAGCCTTGTGGAGTGTGAGAATCAAAACTCTCCTACCCTTCCATTAACTTAGCATGTGTTGAAAAAAAGCTTCAGAGAAGTTCTGGCTGAACACTGGCAATGACAAAGGCAGCAGTCAAAAGGGCGATGTAATAAGGATCAGAACAGCAGAGGTTCTTTTTAAGGGGCAGAAAAACTCTGGGAAATGACAGAGAACAACTACTGTGATCAGGCTATGTATAGAATGAATGGTTTTTTTCTTTGAAATTGTTTAAGTGTTGTAAATATTTATGTAAACTGCATTAGAAATTATCTGTGTGAAATACCAATGTGGTTTGTGTTTGAGTTTTATTGAGAATTTAAAGTTATAACTTAAAATATTTTATAATTTTTAAAGTATGTATTTATTTAAGCTTATGTCAGACTTATTTGACATGACACTATAACGGTTGACAATAAATGTGTTTATATTTATCTCTGTGTTAAGGCTTTTTCTTAAAAATTGTATTTAGATAAAACTCACATACCATAAAATCCACCCTTTAAAAATGTATTGTGCAACTATCGCCACTGTTTAACTCCAGAAGATGTCTATCACCCTGACAAAACATTTTTTCTTGATTATCTGTGAGGGTATTTCTGAAGAGATCAGTATTTAATTGATAGACTAAAAAGACTGCCTTCACCAATGTGGGTGGCCATCATCCAAGCCATTGAGGGCCTGTGTAGAGCAAAAAGTCAGAGGCAGAGCGAATTCACTCTCTGTTTAAGCTGGGACCCCCATCTTCTCCTTACTCCAACACTGGCACTCTTGCTTCTAGAACCTGTGGACTTTGAAGTATTCCACTGCCTTTCCTGGTTCTCAGCGTGTAGCCAGCAGGCTATGGGACTTCTCAGCTTCCATAATTGTGTGACACAATTTCTATAAAAAATACCAGCCCCCATCCCCAACACACACACACACACACACACACACACACACACACACACACTATTGGTTCTGTTTCTTTGGAGAACTCCAACTAATACATATCCCTTCATGAGAATTGGCTACTTAGACTAGGTCTCCTCTTTATCCCATATTTGTCTTCCTTCCTTTAATTGTGATAAATAATTACTTGTGTAATTGGTTGTTTAATGCCTGTCTTCCCTACTAAACTCTAAGTTTCTTAGGGGTAGGGAAAAATTACCTTGTTCTTTGCTGTATTTCTAGAACCTAGCACATTCCTGATGCAGAGTGGATGTCCAACAAATATTCATTGAATGAGTAAATCAATGCATGGATGAATGAATGCATATTTTGGCTCATCATAAAAAGTAGAATCATTTTTCAACAAATGGAATGAGTTGTCTCAGTAGGCTAGAGTTTAAAACCCAGTCATGTATCAACTGCCCCCTTCTACTGCCAGTTTGCAATTTCACATCTCCATCTCTCAAAAGTCCAGCAATAATTTCAATCCCCAAATATAGAAACGGGACTTGTAGGAATCATTGTAAGGGCTAAAGATTAATAGAAATAGAAGGGAAAAAATTTTTTAAAAAGGGAAGTGGAAAAATAGCACAAGGGGAAGTAATAAGAGAGAAAAAGAAGATACTAAAAGAAAAAAATAATGAGGTACATAAACAGTACAGATGCTACAGAAGGGAAAGATCTAGTTTTGTGTTCACTCACCTGAGAGCTTAAAACATGCACACAAACACACATGCTTATGTGCACACAGATACACACGCACAGATGTATTCCTAAACCATAACCTACAGGTAGTTTACCTTGATGTTAATGAAAATTAAGCTTCAGGGTCCACTACGTAGATGAACCTTTACATTACAAGGGCCTTGGTCCTAGAAATGTGTTTACATAGCAATACATCTTTGTAAAATCTATAAAAGCAAGACACTTTACATTCCTTTTCTCAAAAAAAGACTGCAAATTGTATAAACCTTGGGCTCTAAAAAAATCCTGAATCTGTTCCTGAACCAACCCAAAATATTCTGATTCAGTAGGATTGGGAGCGAATGTTATATATATATTTTAAATGCTACCAAGTGATTTGGATGCACAACGAGGTTTGGAAATTACTGACAAATGACTATAGATTGATTAGTTTAATGAGTCCTTGATGTCTAGGTGGTATTTCTGGAGCTTTGCCACCACTGATTGGCTCATATACCGTATAACACTGTGTAGTTTGGGAAAAGTGGACAGTGTGTAACATTCACTTACACATTGCAGTGATGATCATATCCACCTCTTGAATAATTAGCTATTCATCTGTATGTACTGGCTGTAGTGATATAGTTCTTTTCAACAAGAAATAAAGGGAATTCAGATATGACATTCACAGTTGTAAATATCAAGAAAATAGAGTAAATTTGTTTAACAAAAATTCAGTTATGGAAGCAAGATATATCTGCCAACAGGGTAACTGTCCAATGGGTTCATTTTGCTTGCTGCCCACATAAAGCTGATTTATCAAGATGGGAAATTGCAATAGAGAAAGAATTTAATTCGTGCAGAGCCAGCTGAATGAGAGACCGAAGTTTCGTTATTACTCAAATCAGCCTTCCCCAAAATTCTAAGGCTAGGATTTTTCAAGGATAGTTTGGCAGGCACGGGAATGGGTGCTGTTGATTGGTTGGGGATGCAATCATAGGGGTGTGGAAAATGGTCCTTGTGCATGCTAAGTCTTTCTGGGTGGGGCCACAGGAATCTGAAAAGACATCTCAAAAGGCCGCTCAGGTTCTATGATAGTGCTGTTATCTGCAGGAGTAATTGGGGATATTGTGAATCTTGTGTCCTCTGGAATGATGGTAATTGTTTACATCTATACCTTAGCAAAATTCAGGCTTTTCTCATCCTCCTAACCTTTCATTAGTGGTCTTTTCCTACCTTTACAAAGGCAGTTTAGTTTTGGAGAAAAGCTAAACTATAAACTAAATTTCTGCCAAAGTTAGCTTGGCCCAAGCCCAGGAATGATTAAGGGCAATCTGGAAGCTAAAGGCAAGATGGGGGCTGGTTAGATCAGATCTCTTTCACCATCATCATTTTCTATTCTAATTTTTGTGAAGGCAGTTTTAATGGGGCAGCATAGACTGGGAGTAAATAAGGAGAAACCTGATGGTTAGAAATAAGGAAATGTTTAATGGCTGGGAGGTTCAATGAGGTAGGAGTAAAAAGCATTGCAATGAGATACTTGAGCAATACACTTGCAAGAATAGGATATAGTGGTTAAAGAGTGAAATGTTTGATCATGTGACTTTAGAGATGGTACAATCTTAGGTGATGTCAAGGTTGAGGCTCTGCTTAGGGAAGGAGGTAGCTCAAGTCGAGTGGAGGAAAATGTCATTGGAGAGCTGAGGATCTGGGCTGTGGTACGGGTTGTGCCATAGATGGTGAAGTCCCATAGGACTATGAGAGGTGCAGCCCAGCCCAGTGAGTCATGCTTGTAATCCAAGCACTTTGGAAGGCCAAGGTGGGTGGATCATGAGGTCAGGAGTTCAAGACCAGCCTGGCCAAGATGGTAAAACCATCTAGTGAAAATACAAAAATTAGCTGGGTGTGGTGGCGGGTGCCTGTAATCCCAGTTACTCGGGAGGCTAAGGCAGGAGAATTGCTTGAACCTGGGAGGCAGGGGTTGCAGTGAGCTGAGATTGTGCCACTGCACTCCAGCCTGGGTGACAAAGTGAGACTCTGTCTTAAAAAAAAAAAAGACTATGAGAAGTGCATACAGGGAGATTCCTCTCCCTGTAAGTTCAGGAGGTTTGAGAGGTCACTACAATGAGGACAGTGAGATGGTTTATCTCAGTGTCACAAGCTTCAAAGAAGCAGAGTCTTCTTTTCATTTTTTTACAAGATGGTAGAGGAAGAAAGATCTATAAGAGGCACTCATTATAAAGAAGACGACTGCCCCTGCCTTCCAACCCTGAAGTGTGTGAAGTGTGGAGAATAAATCTTATAATCTTGAGAAACCTGCAAAGGGAAGTGATGTCCTCAGGAGGCAGTAAGACTGATGACAAAGCAAGGAGCTAGGAGAAACATTTGAACAGGAAACTGGAAGATTGAGGGGAATTTGGTGATGGTGAAGAGAGGAATCCCAGGGATGGCAAGGAGGCATTTGGGATGAAAATTAGGGTTGGGCTAGGAGAGAGCAGTTTAGGTGAACTGTTCAGGAGATAGATGACAGACAATAAAAGGGGCTTACATGCCAAAGATAAGGAAAAGAACTCTGTGAGCCATGGCGATTTGTCCTGATAGGACTGTGGAGATAGGTGGGCAGTAAGTTAATTCTCTACTGTGCATTCCTTCTGCCCATGATAAACTGATAGCAACTGCAGTGAACGCAGCCTTGGTTGGCAGCAATAAGCAAGCAAACCTTGCGATCATGGAGGCATAGGCTAGGGAAGGGTTGGGTAGTGGTCCTTCGACCATCCCTTGGACCCAGGGATGATGCTTTCAATGGCATTCACTGGTACTGCCTATGGCAGGCAAATGGTTCTTGAGCACTGGCTCCTCTCTCCAGGGTTTTGTGACAGTTTTATAATACTTACCTACCCAATCTTGTTCTACCCTTTGAGGGTCACAAAATAGCCTAATAACCACTCTTTTTCTTACCACCCATCAGATGGCTGTTAATATATCTCTGGGACTTCTCCTATTCTAATTCTTGTTTTGGCTGAAGGTACATAAATTTTTTTTATTGAGGTGAAGTTTACATAACATAAAACAACCATCTTAAAGTACACAATCCAGTGACATTTATCACATGGTATAACCACCATCTCTGACATGGTTTGGATCCATGTTCTCACTCAAATCTCATGTCAAATTGTAATCCCCAATGTTGGAGGTGGCACCTGGTGGGAGGTGATTGGATAGTGGGGGTGGTTTCTCACAAATAATTTAGTACCATTCTCACGGTACTATCCTCATGATAGTGAGTTCTCGCGAGATCTGGCCATTTAAAAGTGTGTGACACCTCCCCACATCCCTCTCTTACTCCTGCTTTTTCCATGTGATATGCCTGCTCCCCTTTCACCTTCTGCCATGAGCGTAAGCTTCCTGAGGTCTCACCAGAAGCTGAGCAGTCTCAGCACCATGCTTCCTGTAAAGCTTGCAGAAGTGTGAGCCAACTAACACCTTTTCTTTATAAATTACCAAGTCTCAGGTAATTCTTTATAACAATGCAAGAATGGCCTTACAAAATCTCTATATAGCTCCAAAATATTTTTATCAGAAGAAAACTCTGTACTCTATAACCAGTTAGTTCCCATTCTCTTCTCAGCACTTGGGAGCCTCTAATCTACTTTCTGTCTCTATGAATTTACCTCTTCTATATGTTTCATATAAATGGAGTCAGACAACATGTAAACTTTTGTATCTGGCTTCTTTCACTAGCAAAATTTGTTGACACATTGGATATGAGTTGTGAAAAAAAGGGAGGTGTCTCAGTTAATGCTAAAAGTTTTGGTCTGAG